TTAACACTCCCATAATATTTATAATATTTATAGACTTCATTGAACTTGCATAGAACCCCAATAAATTTAAAAAAGATTAAGGATATGTTTGAATAAACAACTTAATTACAGTTAAGTGTTTATGAAAATAAATATTTATGAATAAACTTGTATAAGCAATTTTTATAGAAAAAATAAAATAAATTTAAATAATTTTTAAAAATTGTTCTCATAAACTATCATAAAAAATTTACAAAAATAAATTATAAATAATTTTGATAAAATCTCTCAAATAATATTATAAAACTTATATAAATAAATAAACTCGAATAAATCAATACAAACGGATATATCTCTTATTTACAAAAACTTGCAGCATAGTTAAACCAAAATTTTACGTTTATAAGATTATAAAAGTGTTGGTCTACGAGGGCTAACAACTAACAAATTATATACAAAATATAGACAAAAGAAAATGTTATTGCGTCAACTGTGACATATTTTCTCTTCAATATGGTAAGGTCACAGCTCCTTCATCACCTCACCTGCCCCATCCATACCAAATACTAACATATCATAATAATCAGGAACCTCACTTGAACGCATACAACTTGTTAAGCAAAACCTTATATTATATACATTATTTTATCACTTTATCATAATTTGACTTTATTCTTTTTTACATTTTCAAATGCATGGCATGCAAAAGTAGAAATATTATAAAGTTTGACAATGGCACACACGTATGCAACAACAACATGGATATGTTTGTTGATCTAAACAAATGTTACGCAACCCAACAATTTGCATTATCGAGCATGTTTCTTTTGACCACCGTTGTTTTGCAAGCGATAAGTTTTACTTTTTCATTGCGTCATTAAGTTTTGCTTTCTTTTTTACAATCTATTTTTGATCAATTTTGTCAACTTAGTCATTTGTATTTTTAATATTTTAAAATGTTGACTAGTAAATACTAAATTTGTTTCTGATATGTGGCTTGTTTGTTACTCTTTTTATAAAAACCAAAAAAAAAAAGTAGTTGTTTTTATCTAATTTTTAGTTATAGATTCTACATAAAAATATAAGAATTGAAAGACTATTTATAAAAATTGCTTCAAAAGAAAAGTTGTTTGAAAGGAATTTTTTGAAAATCATTTAATACATCTTAAATTGAAAAGTCTGTAAAGTCCATAGTTCATTAAACTCTATCCCTTCCTGAAAAATTAGGGGTTAAAATCATGTTTTAATAATTAAGTCAATAAAAAATAGCATCTATTTTGTTAGGGTTAAATTAAGTTTAATACACAATCTCTCTTTTTCTTAATAAACAAATGGAGAATAATATGTCGGGGCAATTTTCATCCTTAAAAAGTATTTGAGCTGATCTAAATCTTTGATTTCAAATTCTTTAACTAGCAAATTCTTTAACTGTGTTATTTTATCATAATCATCTCCTATAATAACAATATCATCAACATAGGCAATAAATAGAGCTATCTTACCGTCCATCGAGTGCTTGTAAAACATAGTGTGGTTTGTTTGGCATTGAACAAAACCATCTTGCTTAACAACTTTGGTTTATCTGTCAAACCATGCCCTAAGTGATTGTTTGAGGCCATATAAAGATTTATGGAGCTTGCAACCCATATTTGAGATGTTGGGTGATTCAAGTCTCGAAGGTATTTGCATATATATACCTCCTCTTCTAACTCCCATTATAGAAAAACATTCTTTATGTCTAGTTGGTGTAGTGGCCAATATAGATTTGCGGCCAAAGACAATACAACTTGGACAGAATTGAGTTTAGCTACAGGAGCAAATGTCTCTTCATAATCCACCCCATATTAACGTGTAAATCCTTTTGCAACAAACCGGGCTTTGTACCTATTTATACTTCCATGAACATTGTATTTAATTGAGAATATCCACTTCCATCACACTGCTTTCATCCCTTCTGGTATATATGTGATTTCCCATGTGCCATTTTTTATAAGCGCTTGAATTTCTTCTGCTACAGCGGCTGCCCATTCAGGTTTTCGCAATGCTTCATGAATATTCCTTGGAATTTCAATGTTGTCAAGCGTTGCTACAAAGGACCTGTAACTTGTTGACAATTTTCCATAAGAGACAAATCTCTCAATAGGGTAATGAGTGCATGTTCTCACCCCTTTTCTTATTGCAATAGGAATATCATTATTTGTTGTATTTACACTTACATGTTTAGGGTTAGGGATCATATTACATGTGGGAACTTTATTTTTAAGAGTCTGGTTGGACTCATGGTTTTACATCGAAGTTGTGCTTGACTTTACATCCTTCTTTCTCTTTTCATAAGTTTTCCTCTTCCAAATACCCTCTTGTATTTTTCGTCCTTGGTTCTGTTGAGATGTAGTTGAAATATTAATCATCTCCAACTCAATTTTGGTGGTCCTTTCAACTGGGTCAGATACTGGTTCAGCTAGTTGAGTATCAATGGTTTAGTTTAGTAACATTTGTGCAACTTCAGGTTGAGTATCGATGGTTTGGTTTGGTAACATTTGTGCAGGTTCGGGTTGAGTATTTTGGGTCTAGTCTAGTACTGTTTGTGCAGGTTCGGTTGCTAAAGGTTGAGTATTGGAGGTCTGGTCTGGTAAAATTTGTGCAGGTTTGGTTTCCTTTCTAAACTTTTAGTTGGATATATGTGTTGTTGCTCCCCTGAATGCCAACTTTGGTGTAATAAGGAGGATTTTAAAAGAAAGTGACATCAATAGTATGATAGAATTTTTTTGTTTGGAGAGAGTAACATCTATATCCTTTTTTGTGAGATGAGTAGCCAAGAAAGATGCACTTGATATATTTCGAGTGTAGTTTACTATGATGAGGATTAAGATTGTGGACAAAAGCTGAACATCCAAATATTTTTAGTGGAACGAAAGAAAGGATCTTGTTGGTTGGAAAAAAGGTTTGAAGTGCAGAAATAAGGGTTTTAAAATCAAGGGTACGAGAAGGAATTTTGTTTAAAAGATGTGTTGTCGAAAGTACAGCTTCTCCAAAAAACTGTTTTGGAATATTATTGACTAGCATTATTGATCTAGTTACTTCTAAGAGGCGTCTATTCTTCCTTTCTGCAACTCCATTTTTTTGGGGGTGTCCACAGGTGAGCTTTGGTGGACAATTCCAACCTTTTGGAGATAGGAATTAAAAGAAAGATTATAGTACTGACAACCATTTGTCGGTTCTAAGTACCTGAATCTTGCTTTGAAATTGTATTTGCACCATGTTATGAAAATTTTCAAATATTCTCCCTACTTCTGATTTTTCCTTCATTAGAAACACCCAAGTGACATGTGTGTGGTCGTGGATAAAGGTGACAAACCATCTCGAGCTAGTAATGTTGTGAACTCGAGATGGTCCCATACATCACTATGAATTGATGAAAAATATTTAGATGGTTTATATGGTTGGAGTGGGTAATGGTTAGGGGTATGTTTAGACAATTGAAAAATTTCACACTGAAAATGTTTCTGGTTTTTATCAAATAGCGAGAGACAAATATTTTCCAAGTACCTGAAACTTGGGTGACCTAATCTATAATGTCACACATTACAAAAATTTCATGTATGCTCTACACATGTTTCCTTAGTGTGGTGTGGCCTCTTGCAATGATCACACCAGAGGCAAGATTTTCCTTCATGTGAGCTTGTCAGAAAAGATCCAATCTCCACCTTGAGCTTGTTATATTTTGAGTCGTCCGTAGTTTGATGACGCTAATTTATGGATGGTTTAGATCGTGCTTTGATACCCTGCACATATATGTTTTTATATTTTATGTTTTGCTTGATAATATATATATATATATATATATATATATATATATATATATATATATATATATATATATATATATATATATATATATATATATATATATATATATATATATATATATATATATATATATATATATATATATATATATATATATATAAACAAAACAGATAATTAATTAATTTATATAAAGTTATATGAACTACTACGATATATACAAAACAAAATCGGTATAATAGATTCTTTACTCATCTTCAACAATTTTTTAAAATAACGTATTAATAACTAATAAAAATCCACATAAATAATTATGAATATCACATCGATAATGAGGGCTACCTTGAGAAATTAAAGATTTTGACTTTATATCTTTTTTATTTCTTATTGGAGTCTAATGGTTTATCCTAATGACTCTTTTTGTTAAAAAAAAAAAACAAATGTATTTGTTTATATTTATTGGCTAATTGTAAATAAAATAAAGAAACAAAAGTGACAATAAATATTTCAATTCAAGCAGACACGTTGGTCTTTATAGTCTGAAAACGAAAAAATAAAAAATAAAATAATGAGTGAGAATATTCAAACCTTAACGTACGCGTGTACATGGTTTCATGGTCCCTTATTACTAGTGTTACGTTGATTTTTCATCTCCATTCACTACGTCTTCTCCTCTCTTCTCCAAAATTCTGTTCTCTTCTCTAACCCCTTCATCTTTCTTTCTCTTCTTCACTTCATCTTCTTCTAATCTCACCTCAGGTAACATTTATAACTTTGTATTATGTTATTAATTATCCTTTTTCATTCTCAAAGTTCCAATCTTTTTACTTTTTGCTTTCTTGGTACGGTGGTTGTTTGAGATATGTAGCACCGACGTCTCTGAAAAAATTGTGTCTGGTCGACATCAGCACCGATTCTTATGATTATGTTAATTTATAGCTTTGAATTACTTAGATTTTGATAAACTTTAGATAAATCAGTTGAATTTGTATAAACTACTTAGATTTTGTTATGATAGTTAATACATTAACTTCATTGTACTTTAATTATGACTACTCTTTGTTTATTTTACAATTCACTTCTTTTATGAGAGGACCCTATAGTTGTTAGAAAAAACATGAATGCATTTTTCTGTTCTTCAGGTAACATTGGAAGTGGTTTCATTTGAAGCAATTTGATTGACAGTAAAACATACTTTTCTGATACATTAATCCGCCATGACCTGTTTTCCTTTCTCATTCAAGAAGACTTCGTCGATTTCGAAACATAATATAGACAACGCCGACGAAGGTAACGCATTCCAATCGATAATATGTTGTAATTTTGTATCTATCTATGTAATTAGACTCTAATTGATTATACTTTGAACAGATATTTCGGGCATTCATAATGTTAAAATCTATACCTATAAAGAATTAAGAAAGGCGACGGATGACTTTAGTCAGGCCAATAAAATCGGAGAGGGTGGTTTCGGTTCTGTCTACATGGTATACTAGATTGCGACGCGGTTGTTATTTTTTAGTTCCTTTTCTTATTGATGAATATGAATTACGAAACCTTAATTGTATTGCGGTGTGGATGATCAGGGCCGTCTTAAAGGTGGAAAACTTGCTGCTATAAAAGTTCTTTCGGCCGAATCAAAACAAGGGGTGAAGGAATTCTTGACAGAGATTAATGTGATCTCTGAAATCGAGCATGAAAATTTAGTCAAGTTATACGGTTGTTGTGTCGAAAGAAACAGCAGGATATTAGTCTACAATTACCTTGAGAATAACAGTCTTTCGCGAACTCTTCTAGGTAAATCCATGTTTCTATATTGTGTTTACATAACTTCATGGATTTGTTTTGTTAACTAGTCTTTGACTGTTACCATTACTCGAATTACTTTTTCATCGATTTTTTTCTCGTGTTCAGGTGGAAGTCACAATAGTATCTACTTTGATTGGCGAACGCGGTGTAGAATATGTGTTGGCGTTGCAAGTGGGCTCGCCTTTCTTCATGAAGAAGTCAGGCCTCCTATCATTCATAGGGATATAAAAGCAAGCAATATTCTACTCGATAAAGATCTTACACCCAAGATTTCCGATTTCGGTCTTGCAAAGCTTATGCCTGCAAACGCAACTCATGTCAGCACGCGTGTAGCAGGAACATTGTAAGCGTTGTAATTCACAGTTTTTGATGAATTATTTGTGTCTGAAATTTACTAATGCATGGTTTTGGTCTATTTCAGAGGTTACTTGGCACCAGAGTATGCTATCGGAGGGAGACTTACACGAAAAGCGGACATTTACAGTTTTGGTGTCCTCCTTGTGGAGATTGTCAGTGGAAGATGTAACACAAATTCGCGACTTCCAATAAATGAACAATTCATTCTAGAGAGGGTAAGGACGTTTCCTTCCCAATCATATTACATTTGACAATGTATACTCTCTCTGATCTTATTTATAAGAAAAAATTTATTTTTTAAATTCATTGAATAAACAATATATCTGATCAGAAGAAGGATTACATTTGATATGTACGATCATATTCTAAAGCATTATGTGAGACTTACGAACCTACTCTTATCTAAACTTTTTCTTCTTACAGACATGGGAACTTTACGAGCGAAAGGAACTAGTTGCGCTGGTAGATACATCGCTAAACGGAGAATTTGACGCCGAGCAGGCATGTAAATTTCTGAAGATTGGTCTTCTTTGCACTCAAGAATCTCCAAAATGCCGCCCGTCCATGTCTTCTGTGGTCAAGATGCTTACCGGAGAAATGAAAGTTGATGACAGTACGATGACAAAACCGGCTTTAATTTCCGATTTCATGGACCTCAAAGTCAGAAAGAATCAAGAAAGTACTACAATGGATTTGAAGACTTCATTGTCATACAATACATCGTCTACCTCGGAGCAACAGGACTCTACCATTACATCAATTGCAACTGCACAATATGATCACAGCATGTAAACATTAGTTCACAATGTTTTGTCTTTTGATTTGAAAAATTGTTTCATTTTCTTTGCTTGTGTATCTCATGTAAATTTTGCAATACTTTGAACTTATTTGAGTTTGTTTTTTTGTAAATATGGATCAGGCTTGTATCCAATGATTAATTTTGAAGATATTTTTTTGGCTTTTTAGTTGTGTTCTGTATCTTTCCTTTCATTCTTTGTCATTCTAAAAAAAGCACACAAATAAGAAAAGCACTTCTACAAAGGAAAAGCTCTTTCTTTCAGTCTTTTCTAATGAAAAAAAAAAGTACTTTTCATTTGAAAAAATAATAAATCTTTTAGAGTTTGTTTAAAGTTTTAAACAAAAATAGACTCTGAAAACAAAAATAGAGATTATGGATTCTTTTAAGAATCACCTTAGAGAAATTTCTGGAAAAAGCTACAATTATAACAACTTTGTTAAAATAAAAAAGTGAGCTTTATAATTTTCTTTATCAAAAGAAAATTGTACAATGTTAAAGTGACTTTTTACAAAAGTGAAACATAGCATGTATGAGGTTGGAGCAATAGTGTCTCAAGCTATCATAATTCCACCTCAAAATAATACTAGTTAATAAACTTGCGAAACATATGGTAAAAAATAATAGGGTTAATGGTATTTTCTGCTCCTGCTTCTGGTTTTCTCATCTATAATTTATTTTTATTTCATACTATAATTTTGTATTTTTACCGTACAAATTAGATATGTAGGAGGGATAAAAACATAAGGGAAATGCTCTTTCTAGGTTGCGTTTCATCCGTTTGGAAATCCAAAATATTTTGTGTGTTCGAAATCTTCGAACGAAAATAGATCCCCTTCTACTCCCTCTCTCATGTTTTTGTCCCTCTCCAATCTTTGCCATTTGCATATTAATTAATGTTATTGACTCCATGTGATAGATTGAAATGCAAAATTATTACTCCATGTGATAGATTGAAATGCAAAATTATTAGCCACAACATAGAATCTATATCTTCTTCAAACGCATCTAAAATCATATTAAACTATGTAATTCAGTCATATGTTCATTTTTGCTAAAATTTAGTTCAGAGATATATCTTCATAAAATTTTAAGTATATTCAAATATACATCTCTGTAAACTCTCTTTATACTTTTAAGATAGCAAAAATGTCCCACCATGTCATTTTTTTGTGTCCAACTTATATTTTAGGTCATTTTAGACTATAAAAAAAAACGCATACATTAAGTTATTGAAACATGCTACACATACATTAAAAAAGTTACTCATTAATTGTAAAATCAAAATATACCGACCATGCATAACTTATTTTGAAAATACAAAAAATAATACAACTAAACATAAACTACTATGTATGTCTAACCCATTGGCTTCTCTATGATAGTCGTATGGTACTAAATGACTCGAAATTCGCAAGTAATGCGTCTGGAGATGCATCTATGTACAACTCTCTGAATTTTCAATTAATGGTTTTTATAGAGATGCATCTCTAGACTCACTTTTATGTTATAGTGAGATATATCTCCAAATTAAATTTTGGCAAAATAAAGGTGGCTCATCCATTTGCGCTTAAAGGTGTGTAAAAAGATGTGTGTCGGGAGATGCATCTTTGAAATCTATAGGCATTTTTGACTTTTCACTATGATAAGAAAGCACCCCATGGAGTTTAAAATGAAACCCTCAAACATAACTTGCTTCAAAAAGCAGAGGCAAAAACAAAACTCGCTCTTGTAAAGGCAAAATTTTGACCCATATGAAGAAAAAAAATCAGGGGATTCAGGATTGCACCCTTATGGTCTGTTTGGTTCAAATGAGGGAGATGAGAAGGGGAGGGATTTTAAAAGAGAGAAGGGAAGTGGATGGTTCAAAATAGGGGAGGGGATGAGAAAAGAGAAATTTTAATTAAAAATGTGTTAGATTTAGGAGGGGAGAAAATGAGATTTATTAATAATTTACATTTTTATCCTTATAATCTTATATAAGTTATATGATAATACTCAAATGTGAAAAATTCATACATATTTTTTTTGATAATAAAATTTCTAATATTGATTGACTAAAAAAGTATTTATTTACCACATAATGTTAAAAAATTGAGTACACTTGATTCATATTATAACTCTCCAACATAAATTAAATTATATGTTGACAACAACGTTTAAATCGTAATGAATCATCTAACAAAACAAATACATAAAATAACTTATTATTAAATATTAATGGTTCAAAATATTTAATAAAATGAATAAATCAAAATAAATAAAATGAAGAGTTTAAAATTTGATATAAAAGAAAATATGATAGGATACATAACAAAATTAGAAGAAAAAACAAATATAACTAAACATAATTTTTTTTTATAAAAAAACAAAAAAAAATGTAATGATTATGATTTATATTAAGTACAACAATTATAAAATAATTTAAAGGGGATGAACAGTTATAATAAATTGATAGAATCAATAGAGAAAATCACATAGAAGGAAAGCAGTAATAAAAAAAATTGAAATACTAAAATTAAACTAAAGATATTTTAGTAAATATATTCATTTTTTAAAATATCAAAACTCATATTCCCTCATCTTACCTCAAAATCTCCTAATTCAAAAGGATACAAAATGTGTGTTTTTGGAGGGATTTTGCCACCGTCCCCTCCCTTTCTAAAATTTGAACCAAACATATTTAATTAGAAATTTTCTCCCCTCCCTTTCTAAAATTTGAACCAAACATATTTAATTAGAAAAATTTTCCTCTCCCTTTCTAAAATTTGAACCAAACATATTTAATTAGAAATTTCCCCCCTCCCTTTCTAAAATTTGAACTAAACATATTTAATTAGAAATTTCCCCTCCCCTCTCATCCCCTTCCTTCCATCTACCTCGAATCAAACACACCTTTAGTGATGCTCACGCGCCCTAGTGAAATATCAAAAATGCCTCTTAAATATTTTATCTAAACCATTTCTAAGCATAAATCCTCTCTCACTTTCCACACATATCTGTTTGGTCATATGAGGATGAATACTATGAGATTTATCAGGTGTTTTTACATTCGTCCCGCTCATAGGAAATCAGATAATCGAGTTATTTCGAGTGTTTCTTGACCGCACTATAATAAATGATATACGCTACACACCGTATGACGATCATCATCAAACACGTCCCTAGCATGATATAACATTCTACTCTAAATAATTGGCTTGTGGGTCACACTTGATATATTCATATGTGTCTAAGTGAGTCATGCGCTAGTTTGGGTTTCAACACGAAATTCTAAAAGACCCCTTCATGTCTGCTCCTCCCATTACGTATGATGATTCCTATAATCATCTGGTACCAGAGGAAACACGAAGTGTGTCAACTACTCAACTATGGGATAATACATTCGACTACTTTTGATGATATTTCAGAGTGTCACATACTTATATGACACCAAATGTTTAAGGAGATCCACATAGATCAACTCATCAAGAAATATTAGAGGAGAAACAAGTTATGACAAATCATGTCATTGGTGTGTTACTTGCATGTAAGCATCTTATGGCTATTCTGCGAGCGAGTATAGATATATGAGAGTTTCTGAAAAACACTCCTGTGAGGACCACTATAAAGGTCATTCTATCTGAGACACAGAATGTCTTGCAGTATATAAGGTCGAGAAGGAACAAGAGGGTTATATATACTCAATAGTTCACTTTTACTTCTATTTTGATAAGATTTGTATTATAGTTTGTAATTTGTCAAAAATGATGTTTAATTGCGGATTCTTGATTGATTATAATATATGGCAGTTTGATTGAATTACATGATTTAATTGATAACAAATTTTTTTGATTGTATGATTGGGCCTAAATGGCCTATATTCTAATATTTATTAAAAAAACATCAAATTAATAACAATTCTATTGCCTAAGAGTTATTACGAAAATATATTTTTGAATTATTTCATAGTTGCGGAATAAATATACTATTATGAGTTCAAAATGTGTCCAGAAATTATTACGAAAATATACAAGTGGACTACTCTTCCATAAAAATGGAGATACATTTTCAAACTAATTTTTAACAAAATAAAAATGGATGATTCACTTACGAATAAATATGGTGTATTTTGACTAAATACAAAATTATATTTCTAAATTTGAAAAACAATTTTGAATTTTAAATGATGATCGGAAAAAAAAAATTGGATATTATATTGTAATTTTAAAATCAATAAAAAAAAATATTTATAAAAAATATTAACCTTGCCCAAATAAATATCAAGGGACAAAAATACCATTAAGCCAAAATAAAAGTTGAAGCAAAAAATAAAACAATAACCTTTGTCTGCAATGAAATTGAATTGGGCAACTGTAGTAAGATAGGATGGTTCCATTAACCTCAACTTCTTTGTTTGTAAGCCTGTGACTGTTGTTGACTGGACATACCCCATGTCTTGAACCCTTTGTACAAATGGCCACACTGCCCTATAAATACTATTTGCCAAAAACTACTACAAGTTGGTTTTGGAAGGTCAAAACTCTGAGTTTCTTAATATTTTTTTTCACCATTTAACTTTTGTTTGGTAAGGCTTTTATAGTATAAAAAACTAGTGTAATTATTGAGTAAAAGAAAATTGTATGATTGGAGAAATGAAGTTCAATGCCATAAAAATTTCCAGCTGTAACAACCTCTCTAAAGGAAGAAATATAAGGGCTATTTGACTTTCTGAACTTTGCTAAACATGTGCCTCCTTGAGACTCTCTGTTTTTGTTTTGTTCTTTTGTTTATTTTATGGAAAATGTTCCTTTTGTGTAAGAAACATAAATATTATAGTTTAAGGTACATAAATATAAAAGAAATTGTTGATGGAATATTTTCTTTTTCATTTTATTGAATTATTAAGCATGCTTAGTCAAATCTACAAGTAACAAAAGGTTATTATAGTTTAAGGGAATGAGAGATGTTTGCTTTATGGTCACGTGGGTGACAAGGACTATTTTGTTAAGTTTCA